TCTGCCCTAACTTCTGTTCCCTTACCTTTTGCTTCCAGGTCTTGAGGATATTTCATTGCTTGTTAAAACCACCACCTCATGATGTGCAGAAAAGAGATCCCAATCTAGTCCATTTCTAAAACTGGGTGGGAGGGAGGTGCATGGCTCAAGTGGTAGAGTATCAACCTGGCAAGTGTAAGGCCCTAAGTTCAAACTCTAGTACCACCAAAAGTAAATAAAAAATAAAATAAAATGTAAAAACTGTCTTGTTCTGAGTGGGGGAAATTAATAGATTGAAATCAACAGTGAGTCCAAAATGAGGGGACATGTGAAAGAGCCTAACGAGAGACTGTATACTCTAAGGAGCTACTAAGAGGGGCTTTATAATCCACACAGCAGTTTGCTCTACTATTCACCAGTGGTTCTCAGCCAGGGAGATTTTGACATGGTCCCTCCTTCCCCCAGGACATTTAGAAAAAAGCTGGAGACACTCTTGATTTCTCATGACCTGGGTAGTGATACCAGCATTTAGTTGGTTTGTAACCATGAAAGTTCCATTTTCACTGCCAACTAATAAAGCCAGTAATTCAGAGACAACTTCATTGGCAATAAGCTGGTTAGTTGGAAGATGGAGGGATTTCACTCAAATTCTATCCAACCAAAGCACATATGGGGTTTCTTAGGGGATCTGGTTTTAGTCATAGCTAGATAAGCACCAGAATAGTTATTAATTGTTGCAGTAATCAGTTCTCTTGACATGGTTTTGATGTTGTCCATAGTTCACCAGGTGTTCTTGTAAACATGCAGAAAGATGACTGATTAGAAGGTCAAATGGTGGTGTTCTTTGATGGTTTCCCTTGTTCTTTGCGGGCAAGGCTGGCTTTGTTGGCTTTGCAGGCAGGGCTGGCTTTGTTGGTTAATTATTTGGGCAGGGATGCATAGAGGAGTAAGGTAAAACAGAAGCAGTTAAAAATAGACTTGCTAGTGCTACGAGCCAGTTAACCTGCTCGTCAGCTTTAGAGAGGCCAGACAAGCTGCTATTGACATCCCAGACAAAGAATTAACTGGCCCCAAAATATCAATGTGCTAAGGTTGAATTTCCCTGTTGTGGATAAAAGAACGTGTGCATATCTTTTTTTAGTACAATGAGAAGTAAGTTAAGTAATACTGTTGATACTTACTTCACTATACTGTTTGCAAAAATATTTGTACAGTCCTCTAGTCACTGCTTATTTGTGTTTTCAAAGTTAATCTAGGTAGATTTCTCCAACAATGAATATTCCCTATCAAAACAAAATTTTAAAGTATTACTTAGTACCTAAGTAATTCAGTATACCTTTAGTATACTGAAACACATTGATTTGCACCATTGATTTACACAAATTTAATTTGCCCTGCCAACCCCAGTGACTCATGCCTATAATCCTAGCTACTCAGGAGGATCAATCTGGAGGACTGAGGTTTGAAGTCAGCCCTGGGCAAATAGTTCCTGAGACCCTTTCTTGAAAAAAACCATCACAAAAAAAGGGCTGGTGGAGTGTCTCAAGCAGTAAGAATGCCTGCCTAGCAAATGTGAGACCCTGAGTTTAAACCCCAGTGCCACCAAAAAATATAAAAAAAAAGGAAATAACGTTTTTAAAAATTTGCCTTAACTTTTAAGAGATTTATATAAAATAAGGAACATCTGTCTGAGGGATATCGTTTTACTTGTTCCATCTTCTTTCCCTCTTAAATAGATGCTAATACATTTGCAAGCTGTTTTCTTTTTGTAACCCCACTCTTTAAAAATGGCCCACTGAATATTGCCTGAAATGACATAAACATTATTTTTTTTAAATGTATGAACAAACAAGAGGATAAATAAGCACCTCAAGAATTTAAACTATGGCTGATTACTTTCCTGTCACAATCTTTAACTTGAGCCAGTGGGAAAGTCCTTTTTTTTTTTATTATTTTATTTTACTCTTGAATTAGCTTACATTAATATGAGGGGATTTCATTGTGATAACTCCATACATGCATACAGTGTACCTTGAACAAGTTCACTTCCTCTATTATATTCCCATTTTTTCCCTTACCTCCTTTCCAGGAGAGTTCTTAAGAACAGGCCAAAATATTTGACTTTCCCTTTGTCCTGTCTCAACCAAGGCAAGCCAGCAGCTTGCTCAGTTACCATCTACCTGAAAATAACCTCTCCACCACAAGTACCTAAGTGGGAAATCCAGTGTGCTAGACCAAACGAGCTGATCCTGTCCTATTGCTTTTGTATTTTGGAATCCTGACAGACAATTTCCAAACAAAACTGAGACTGGAGGCCATAGTCAGAATCTAGTCAGTAGATGACTGACTTTGGGGATCTTTTGTCAAACAGAGCATGTGGTCTGGCTCGTGTTCCAAGGGTGGGAAAGCTGTAGATAGGGAAAGCCTTGTAGCTGTTGTTATCTAAAACATTTTTAACATCTCATTCAACCCACTGTGGCAGTTCACAAATCGTTTGGAATAACCAAAAGAGCCAGGGAGGTCTATCTGAGAGAACTTTCTAGAATGAGGAAACATCACATATTTACTGTGTCCAATTCAGTTGGCCACTAACTACATGTGGCTACAGTAATTGAGCGTTTTGGCGTGTGGTTAAAGTAGCTGAATAAGTTATTTTTATTTAACGTTATTTTAAATAAATATGTATGCCTAGTGGTTACCATAATAAATAGTGCCAGTCTAGGAAATACTAATTCATAATTTTATATATTCCCCCCCCCTCAGTACTGGGTTTGAACCCAGGGCTTCACACTTGCTAGGCAGGTGCTCTACCACTTGAACCACTTGGCTAAGCCCTGTTTCATGTGGGTATTTTTGAGATAGGGTCTTGAGAGCTATCTGTCCAGACTGACTTTGAACTTCCATCCTCCTGATGTCTGCCTCCTGAGTAGCAAGGATTACAAGCATGAGCCACTGGTGCCAGGCATTATTTTACATCTTAATTTTAGATATCCTGAGTCTTTTTTGCTTTTTTTCAAGTGTAAATGATAAATTATAGAGTGTTTAGAAAATAAGGAGAAACAGATACCCATAATTTTATAACTAATATAATTAGATATTTGGTATAATTTCCTCTTTTTCTATGTGTTCTTAGTTGAATTAAGCATGATTTTATCTTGTTTTACTTTTTTAACAAGCTTTTTTTTAAACTTGGCATTACGAGAGAATCTATTTCTGTACTATTGAATAATATTCACAAGCCTTCAGACCTAATGATTGACGTATCATAATGTGTTGATGTATCTTAGATGGCTGGGTCATAGTTTATTTCTTCTTTTTGAAATTTTGGCTTATTTCCTTTGCGTGATTGTTTGATTTTATGGTTATTATAAAATAATGCTGTAGTAAACATATGAAAGCATGCTGATATTTCTCCTCTTTAAAATACATTACCATATAAAATGTTTGAGTTTTATTCAGGGAAAAATTGACATGGTGCATCCTTTCACTTCCTCATTTTCATTTTGAAAAAACACTTTTCCACTCTACTTGTGAAAAAATGGACTTTAAAACTGACAAAAGGAAAGAAAGCCAAGATTTTTCTCTCTGCGGTACAATTAAGCTGATAAATTATGAGACAAATTAAAAATCCTCTTCATGTAACAATAGGAAGCACTGATAAAATGTGACAGCACTCAGGGCTAATGGCACAGGTCTTTGCCTTCCAAATGGGGAATAAGTTCCCAAGCATAAACCCTGCAAGTAAAATATTTTACATATTCAGATCATCTCTAGAATCTCTTAAGATGAAAAATTAACAGAGATAAACAAAGAAAAAAACTACCATTTTGTTTTGTTCTTTGCAAATCTACATAGTTACACATTGGTACATCTTCAAACTATCCTGTTTAGAATTTAAGGTGTTTTGAGTACAGTGCAAACAAACCTTCACATGTCATACAATTAGTAATTCTTCTGAGGATCTTGGCTGAAGACTTTATATTTTGCATTCTGGTAAACTCACATGATTTTAAAAATTTCTTCTAAAATAAATACTATACTCTAATTATCTGATCATTAACAAACAAAAGGACCTTACTGATTTGATACAAATAAATTTAATCCATAACATTTTGAATATTAGAATGTAAAAAGTCAAGTATTTTCATTATTTGTAAGTAGACTTTTACCTTCTATTATATCATCCTTTGTCTTCATTTGAATTGAGATTTGTTAAGGAATTGAACAGGGACCATATGAGCTTGTGCTAATTAAATATTAAGTTATACATGTGAAACAGCTTTGTAACCCACAAGTACAGTGAAAATCTAATATAAATGTTTTAAGAACTGTTCTTTGGGCATTATGTATATGAGAAATAGCCTTTAAAATTAGCCTAATGGGAAGAAATCAAGACTTCTCTCTTTCTCTGGCATAATGACTTTAATAATTTATTGTATAAATTTGTTTTTCCTTCACATACAACAATAAGAATGTTTGGACCAATAAAATTACTGCAGCTGGGGCTTTTATTAGCAATACCAACTGGGACATAGATCTCTGTCTTGGAAATGGAACCTAAGTCTCCAGATGGCAAATCACTGGGACTTAGTTCACAAAACACAATGCCAGAAAGTCATTTCCAAAAAAATCTGTAGTGTTTGTACAGGAAATGTTTGAAAAATGCTTGGAAAGCCATCAACTTTGTACATACTTTGTGGATTATCTAGGGAAAATATCTAAAATCTGATAGGCTTTTCTCTGTTAACTTCTGGCTTTCCTCACTCTTACTATCAATTCTTTAAAGATGTCTCTAGTTTTGACATAAGTATACACAATATATTGTTATGAGGTTGACACCACTCAAAATAACATAATTCCAGGTAACCATTCTTCATATCACCATGTCCTGTTATCCATATGGTCAATGAAGAGGTATTTTAAATTGCTTATACAGGGCATTATGCTAAGTAAATCCCAGGCTGCAAGAGTTTCCAATTTTTAGATAACAGAATTCATAACTTTATTTTTATGAATTGCAGGTGGTTTTCATGAGCTTATGCAAAAGTTTTTGGGACTGTGGGCTCGTAGCCCTGGATGATATTACAATACAGTTGGGAAGCTGCCGGTCTCCAGGTAAGAAGGCCGTCAATCATTTCAGCTCTTTGTCTTGTGCATTTAATCTACACTAGTCTTTCCTTTCCTTTTCCTGACAGAAGTAGTAGGCTTTGGAATTTAGAAATGCTGACTGCAATGTACATGTGTCTTTGAATGTGTGACTTAACCCCTTTCTCTTCATTTGTAAAGGAAGTTAGCAATACTTACCTAACTTTTGTGAATAATACCTATACACTCTCTAGCATTGGACCTGGCACATAATGGTGCTTTAAAAACAAATATCTTCTTTTTAACTAGTATTGTTATTATTATTGATGTTGTCTTCTGGATACATATTTTCAAATGATAAAAAATTTATGAAATTCTTATTTCACAGATACTTAATACACATAATTTTAAATTTTTAATAAAATAAATATCTTCTAAGTTAATTAAATGACAATGAAATAATAGACCAAGCATTGATGATAGTGACAAAATAAGGTCAGAGCAGTAAGCTGTGTAGTAGATATGACATCCAGGGAGTAAATGGTACAATGTTAACTCAGATCATGGGCCTGGATCTACTAAGTACATCACATCCTAAATCATGGGGTATCCATTTCTTTAACAGACAGACAAATTGTGGTATCAGGTTGGCACTGGGGAATAATCTCTATGTTTATTTAATTAAAACTACTTGCTTTTACTCCTTTGATTTCTGAAATCCCACAAGGACAATACAGATAAAAATATCTACACTCAAGACATGGGAGAGGGAATAAGGCATCATTAGTATTCAATATCAAATAAAATGAAGTAAAGTCCTTAATAAAAGAGAAGCATAAAAGGCAAACTATTTTATTGGAAAAAATTGCTATGAATCTGGATGAAGGAAGGTGCAGTGTAGTCCAGCTACAGGAGAAGTCCTCAGTAAGTTGGGAGGTAGCAGTAAAGCAATAATAATTATTAAAGTTATTATAATAATGCTTACTATCTTTCCTAATAAGACATTCACTGACTAGTCAGGTCTTTAAATTTTTGCAAAATACTCTTTACAAAAAGTTTATGTCAAAAATTTCAAGATACTATCTTGAATCTCAAAGTAACACTTTTTTTGTATGTGAATGAAGCTGTTGTTTTTACCATGTGCTATTGTGTGATTTTAAGTTATGTGGAAATAACATAACTGATTCCATTTTAATTATAATTTGTTAACTCCTATACATATCATTAAAATAGATTTAAAGTTGAATAAGTTATTAATGATAGCATTCAAAGATAAGTATTGGTCTTTAGAAATGGAAAAATAAAGCTCTTACTAGCAAATAACAATTTTAAATATTTATTTTATTAAGAGTTATTGAGAACTTCATGTTCTAAATACTTTGCATACATCATCTCATTTAATTCTCAGGAAGTCATGAAGTGGATACCATTAACATTTCCACATTACAGATAAGAACACTGAAGCCCAGAGAAATTTAAGTCATTTGCATTGCACAGCTCTGCCTCCACAAGTACATTTAGACCTCCCCCAAAGCAGCTGTGGAGTTCTTCTGAGCATATCTGTCACTCATCCTGAACTCCTGAAGAAAGCTCTTGCATTGTGCAATTTTATTATTTTTCATATTTTCATAAAGACAATATGCCTCCAATTGTTAGAGCTTTGTAAGCTTATTCACACAAATAAATTCACAAGGCTGGGGAAGTTTCCTTCTCAGAGTATCCCAGTGTTTCAGATTTAGATTTCTTATTGTTCTCTGCCTCTAAGGTAGGACGCATGGTGGGACACAGTCTTATCTGGAGGCAAGAGCTTGGTGTAGGTGACCCACCAGTGGGGGGCTGACTGTCATATACATGGCGTATGTCCAGACACATCTCAGATGTGCAGAATGGGCTGCCAGGGAGCCTTAAGATGCATATTCATTGAAAGTATCTCAGCAATTGCAACATCTGCTGTTTCCTTGCAGAGAGACTTCCACCTCCACCTGGAGAGTGTACTTTTGATCAAGATGAATGTGCGTTTACGCAGGAGAAAAGAAACCCGAGCAGCTGGCACAGGAGAAGGGGAGAAACTCCCACCTCCTACACAGGACCCAAGGGAGATCACACTACTGGGGTAGGTGAGTTATGCCACATGGTGCTGTTTCCTAAGAAAGCCTTCTAAAGTAGGCATCCTAGGGCTTCTTGATTGCATTTTGAAATGTGTGAATTCGTGTCTCATGTCCAGAATGAGCTACATGTAATTCTACACACACAATAGGTGCACTGAAAATAATCCTTTCTGTTTATAGCCTTGCTTGTATATTGCTGCAAAGAGAATGGAAAAAGACTTACAAGGATAGGCAGGTAAAGATTATTTAATTAAAATTAGGATTAAAAGTAAGAAAGGGACAAAAAATGGTGGTAGTGGTGGTATGTGTGTGTGGGGGGGGGTGGTGATAACTGAAGCCAAAGCCAGGGCTGAGGCTTAGTATATAAAATGTGCTGGCAGATGAGAATGATGAATACAAGCTTGACTCCAAGCTTTCATCCATAATTTTTTTTTGGCAGCACTGGGGTTTGAACCCAGGACTTCACACTTGCTAGGCAGGTGCTCTACCATTTGAGCCACTCTGCCAGCTGCCTCCAAGCTTTCTATTGGTGAGACAACAGTGGAAAATCACCTGGGAAACATGATCCTCAGCATTCTTAGCGTTGGAATGGAGGGAGCTGTCCTCTCAGAGTATAGGCGATAAGATGTGCATTTTCAATAGACAATGTACAAGCTACAAACTAAAGGTTGATCTTTCTTTGTGGTGCTGGAGATGCAATCCAGGGCCTTGTGCATGCTAGGCAAGCACTCTACTACTGAGTAGAGTGGACAGTCTTTGGCTTTTTGAGATAAGATCTTACTATGTAGCCAGTCCTGGGAGTTAGTGCGATGCACTGAACATTGAAAAAGCAGGAAAACTCTTTTAAGTTAAATAGCCAGTAGCATGCTCCTCGTGTCTTTACGCTAAATTAACTGCATGTTTGAGTTGTAGACCTTGTTTTGCCACCTCCCATATCCACAAAATCTGTGAAAATCTGGCAAAAACATACACAGTAGATATTAAATTACTCATAATTCTACTCCTTTACTAACATTTCCTTGATTATGGGGACATAAGTTAGCAAACTTGGCGTGGCTTTATTTCAAGGAAGTGGTATGGTTGTGCTTGCTTTGTCTCTTCAAAAGCAAAAGGATATTTCAACTGGCTGGGGTGAAACTTCACTGCAAAAATTGAATGCAAAATCTTCTTAGTGTGTTCCATATTTATTCTGAGTGAGTATTTGATGAATTAAATGAAATTCTCTGGTGCACAACATAGAGAATGTTGATTTTTTAAAGTAAATTATTTCTATAGTCTGTCTTCTTTATGCTTCATTTTACATGCTTCCATACATATTTCCAAAAGGTTCTCAAGATACCTTCTAGTTTCTAACTAAATAAAATATTTTATAGGTTATATCTTTTTATTCCTATTCACAATAATGTAAATGAGAAACCAGATTTTGCTGTGCTGTGCCCAAGTTAACTACAGATGTATAACATTGGATTGAAGGTGTTTTGGTTTTGTTCTTAAAATTACTCTAATAACCATTTTACTGGGGGAAATGATAAAGCTAGTGATCATTTATTGAACACTTAGCACATGCAGGCACTCTGCTGAGAATGGTTGCATCCTTACCATAACCTGTAAAATAAGTGAAAGGTCTCATTTTTCTGAAGAAGCAGAAGCTCAGAGAAGTTAAGTGCTCTTCCAGAGCCACACAGTAGTAACTGGTAAAGTGACTGTCTGGTCTGTTTGGCTCTAATGGCGATATTCTGTCCACTCTACCTCATCAGAGTCCCCCAGCCAACATGATACTCGGACACCACACACGACCCAGAATGACTATGACAGCTTATATGTGAACATCACATCTTTTCACGTAACAGTATAAACTTATGCATTACACCCTTTACACCAAAGAAAGGTGTTTTCTTTTAGAAAAGCTATGTTTAAACCAATGGTATTTTTGTACATCACGAGAACTTCATCCAGCAGAAAGAATCCACATTTTTTAGCTATTTCTAGTGTCTGCATACCAATACTATTGCTTTAACTCCAGAAATTCAACCCACCCGCCCATTGTATACCCCAAATACACAGAAGAGTGGCTTCCGTTGTCCTAAACTCTAATGGTGTGACCTAATTGAGGCTGATGTACTGGCTCTCAGATCTCGAAGTGACAAGCACTGCTAATTCAAACATTAAAGCATAAGCAAACAAAGACTCTTTTAAGACAACTTGTATTTGTTGTCTTGTTACTCATATCTGAAACTACATGTACATAAGAATCAAATGTCTTAGACCTGGGATTCATCATTAACTTAGAGCAATGTTACAGAAATCTTGATTCATTCCATTATTGTCTGAGCACCTGCTGTACATTGTGCATTAAATAATGAGGATACAACCCAGGGCCTCAAAAATACAGCAGGTAAAATGAAGAGGATTATGTGTTAGAGATGGTGAAACCACACTGAAGGACAGCTAGCTCTGTTGGGAGTGTCTTGAAGGATAAGTTGGAGTTCTTCAGGAATGGAAGAGAGTGAGAAAGCATTTCAGGATGAGGGAAAAACAGGTATGAGGCATGAAGCCATTAAGCAGTGGGGCGACTTTGGGGAATGCTAAGTGATTATGTTTGGCTGACCTGTAGTATACTGTCAACTAGCATTTCCAAGAGAGTAAAGTCTAAATTGTAAACTTATATACAGGTATCAAATTTGGAGATATGATTCCAAAGAGCAAGAGTGTGGAACAAAGACCATAAAATAAGGAAGGAGAAGAGAGCTGATACAAAGATGCACCATGGACTTGGCCCACTGCTATGTCCAACTGGTTGTTTGATCCTGTGGGGACATCTAAGAAGCCATTTTGAAATACATCTTAGGACCATAAACTAAGGAGAGAAAGGGACAACTGTTTGACCACAGGCTCCTGTATTCCACTGAGTGTGCCTATTCAGCATTGACTCGCACCCCTCCCTGATTGCTGAGTTGCAGTCACATGGGTGTGTGGTTCTGCAGAAGTTCAATCCAGAAATGACTGAAGAAAGCCTCCACATCAAAGAAAGGAGGCAATTGGCACGTGGCTTGGGTCTAAGATAAGGCATTTATCAAGTAGCACTTGAGACAGTTCTATCTTTTCACTTCCCATGCTTAAATCCTATCAGTCTACACTTGGAAGAACACATACAAGGAGCAAAAAGAAAGAAAAAGGCATACAAAGCTGTTTTATAGACAACTGCATTAGATGATCAGTCGATATGTGCCCATTAAATAAAAAGAAAAGCTCAGTAAAGCCACACTATAAATATGTCAGGTCATTGTGTGTTTGTTAAAATCAATACATCATCTCAAGGTTAAACAAACACAAGCTCTGGGAATGGAGCCTTCTGGTCAGCTGCCACACAGGTCAAATAATGCCAATTAGCCAGCGATGGAGCTTCAGGAAGTTGCACTCCCGTTCTGCCCCTTCCAATGGCTGCTGGCTACTGCTTTCCACAGATGCATTAGTTGTAGAGCTCTTGGATTTCAATTCTGCTACGGAGGAGGAGAGATGGGATGGGACTAGTGCAAGTGAAAAGGTTGCAATCATTTTTCTTGAACAATCACTCTTGGATTGTTGCAAACCTTTAGTTAATTCTCAGATTTCTCAAAAAGTTGATTTTGACCTTTTTTCTTTTTTTCCTTTCTCTCTCTCTCTCTCTCTCTCTCTCTCATTGCTTTTTGGGGGGTGCAGTACTGGAGCTTGAACTCAGGGCCTCACACTTGCTAGGCAGGTAGTCTGCCACTTGAGGCACTCCACCAGCCCTGTTTTGTGTTGGGTATTTTCAGGATAGGATCTTGCAAACTGTTTTCCTGGGCTGGCTTCAAACTCACAATCATCCTGATCTCTGCCTCCTCAGTAGCTAGGATTATGGGTGTGAGCCACCAGCGCCCAGCTCTTCTTGCTTTTTGTAAAGATTTTCGAAGGTACTTACTCTATCATTCTACGAGCACTCTTTTCTTCCTCACATTTGCCTGCTTTTTAACAGATTGGAATTCATTGTTTATTGTGAAAGTCTCCATCTTATCACCCATTTTCTTGAGTATATCACCCTGGGCTCAATCTCTAACTCTTAAGTGAGCTGGGCAAGTGCTCTACAATATATTGTTGTATAGTCATAGTCTTAAATTATTGATCATATTTATTTTATAGTCTTTGTGTGATAAATCCATATTTGGGTTGCTTCTTTCCCACATATAGAGTTTGCCTTCTTCCTCCACACCCTTTTCTTAAAATGTCTGATTAATTTGAATATTTGACAGTGTGAATGTGCCCTTCCATGATGGTGTTTTTCTCCAGAGAGGATTCTATCAGTTTTCAAATAGTCAACTGGAGTAGAGCCATTCCCTTTAGTTCAATTAGAAGTCAACCACCTTCAGGTGGGGTTGCAGTTCTGTTTTTCTGACTCTACCTCTGGTTCTCCCTGTACTCCTGACATGGTCTCTAAGAATGCAGTCTGGAGTTTAATTAGAGACTGACCTCTCTAGTATGTCCTACACTTCAATTTTTTGTCACTCAATTGATGAGAGTCCTGAAAACTCCACTTTGTTTTGCATTTAACTTCTTGATTCTTGCTCTCTGAAAGTAAAGAATTTGGAAAATGCCCTGGCTGCTTTGGCTGCCTTGAACTCCAGTTGTCTTCTCAACCCACTAAGATCTGTTGGTTTCTCTGTCACTTAGGTGATGCTTTCTACTTAGCCTATAAACTCATAGGAAAATGCCTGAAAGGGAAAAACATCTCAGAAAATGTTGAGCTCATCTCATTGACCTTCCATTTTCTCAGGGATGCTGGCCCCTTGAGGCCTTGCTGCTTGGAAAGCTGTCTAACAACTTCAAAACAAATATCCCCACCCTTACCCACCCAAAAAGAAAGAATTATTCATTTGTTTTTTCCTAAGTTTTCTCCACAGAGTGTAGATCTGCTACCAGTTACTCAGTAGAGCCAGAAGGGGGTGTATCTGGTATTTCACTCTAGCAACATTTATTTACATGTTTATTTTACT